TGGGAAAGGTGTTGTAGCTGCTGCCCCCGCTTCTGCCGCTTTTCTCTTTCCAGCTCAGCTGGGCCTGCGGAGCAGCGCTGGGGTTGGTGTTTCCTTGTGTTCGTGGGTGGTTCTAACGCAGTGTTAACTTGAGCCGCGTGTCCATGGATGGACAGATTTATCACTTTTCGGTCAGGTCCTTCCAGATTCTCAGTTATTTTTTTTTTAATTTTAGTACTTCTGTATGTTTTCCTGAGATGTTTTTTGGGGAAAAAACCCCAGCTGTTGTCAGTTTATTACGGATATAATCTGATGCAAAGGCAGAAATCTCTGCAGACTTCCTGCTGGGTGTTTTGGGAAGCTTAGGCCCCGTTTTTAAACCAGCAGCTACATTGGTGACTGTAAACTTTGAACTTCCATGTCATGTTCTAGAACCACGTAGGTGGCGTGACCTCACTGTAAAGCTTAGGTAATGTTTGTGCCTCAGAAGTTTATGACTGAGTTCTCCTACTTCTTTCTAGAAAGTGAATGTTTAGGGGCTGATAAATGCCGTATGGCTCACCCAGATGTGTCTGTAGCACCACCTTACATTTACTTCCACACTTTTGAGTTGTGTTGCACAATAGTATTTTCAGAAGATAAAACCAGTCTTGGATACACTTCTTATTAGTTCAAGAGGGGTGTGGGGATCTTTACCATAAGAAGGTGGGCATTTGATAATGCTTAGGTCTTCAATCCTTTTGTTTGTCAGACTAACAGTTCGCTCTTAGGTATGAACCAAGAGGGGTTAGACTGGAGGCCATCCAGCTCAGTATGCTGTTTCTGAAAAAGTGAAGTGATGGATGTTTGTGGAAGGAGCACGGGGAAAGAGCATGCCTTCTTCTAGTGAACGATGCCTTAAGGAACATCCTGAAAATACTTATTAAAAAATCTCCTGGAAGGTCAAGCAGAAGACTTAGATGTCTGTTATCAGTTGCAGTAAAATTTGCTCCTTTGCCTTGACATTTCAACTGTCAGTCCAGGATTACTTTAGTAGGCTGGAAATAGAAGCTGGGCACCAGTACTTCTGCTGTTGTCACCAGCTACCTGCTACCTTTTTTTTATCCTGCAGTTATGTTATGGTCATGTCCATATTACATGTCAATGAGCAGTGTTGCACAACAGCCCATAGAACTGCCATGCTGAAGTTTCTGTCCTTCCTGTGAACAGTTTTAGCCAGGCTCCTTCACTGTGCTTTCTATTACGTATATAGAAGCAGCTGTGTCTAATTAAAAGCTTTGGGGCTGCTGTTCATATCTGCTATGTCAGTCTATGTGAGAATCACAGTGATGGTACTTTGGCCTGAAGCTACATGGTATATTAACTTATAAACATACAAAATTGTGTATCTCTTGGTAGGAAGTACTGTAGTTAGATGCCTTTGTAAAACAACACAGTGAGAACAACCCTGCCTCTCTAAATCATGTCCTTTTGGTCGACTTTCTGTATTTGGCATCAGTACTTTGGATTTAGGCGGGGGGAGGGGAAAAACTTCTTGACTCTCACTGTGATGAAATGGAAACATACATTTCACCCAGCCTTGCTGAGAATTTGTCATTAGTTAACTTACAGAATAACATCAAAACAGTTTACAAGTAGAAACTAAAAATTTGTCAATAGATTTAAAGAATGGCTTTATAGGTTAATACAAAATTATATCTATTGTCAGAGTAGCATTGTAATTTTTTCTTTTAAAATCTTAATATTATGTATGCCAAGCACACCGTGAAACTGTTTGAGATGGAGCTTTATCTGTGAGTGTAGTTGGTGTCTCTCTTATCTTCCTTTTTCCTCAAAAATAAAAAGGATGCCCAGACACAAAAATCTTTAAAGTGCATTGAAGAGGAATTAACCAAAGGCATTCAGTCAATTTTAGTGTAGCATTCTGACTAGCCATATAAATATTGACTTATTTCATAACTGGATTGTTAGTTGAATTAATCTAGTAGGATCTTTATCATAAAGCTTATAATAGTTCTGTTGGCCTTTCCTGGTCTTAGTCTCTCTTTGGTTTCAAATCTTAGATTTGAGGTCTAAGACTGATTTTTGTCTAGACTGGACACGGCTTTAATTCTCCTGTGCCCATGCTGCTGTCCAGCTGCTGTCTGTGGGAGATCTTTTTTAGAGGCTGGAGGAAGCGAATGTGTGGAGCTGAGGAGCTTTCATTCCCTTCCGCCCCGCATATTCTGCTGAGTCAATTGTCTGGATAACAGTCCTGAAGCTCCATCACCCAAAAAGCAAAGGTGGGAGTGGGAACAGAACTGCAGAATGGTGACAGAAATGGCAGTGTTCTGCTCAGAGGCCTGGTGTCTCTTCTGAGGTCTTGCTTGTAGAGAAACTCATGTAAGCATCAGAGTATGCTCTCTCCTTTAAATGTGTGTGATGTCTCCTATAAATGTGTGATCAAGTGGTATTTGTCTTTGTTAGAGAAGGATCTCAACTATCCTATTTTCTGTTAGGTTTACTGCTCTGTGTAGTGGCCTCAAACCATCCTTCACATGTCCATGTGATGCCTAGGTTGATTTCCATAGAAGTCATCTGAAAACACCACCTGGGGAAAAATTTTACAGTATTAAATTACAGCTGTTCTTCAGTTTCCCTTCTTTGATTTGCATTTTGAAAGGTAACTTACACGTTTGAAAAAAGTTGAATCTCTGTCTCAGGAACATGCGGTGCCTCTTCCTGATTGTCAAGGGTGAAGCGATTGCATTAATGCAATGCATTTTTAAATGGACAGAGTGCTTTTCCACATGTGAAGAGCACTTCCTCCAACGGTGTTTTCTGTCTGTAACTACTGAGTATTGTGTTTATAGGTGATGGAGCATCTGCTGGTAACTATGGCTATACCAACAGTGGATACAGTGTTTACGAAGAAGAAAATGAAAGGTTAACAGAAAGTCTGCGTACAAAAGTCAGTGCCATTAAATCGGTAAGTATTTAATATAGTGGTATCATCATATTTATTGAATTAAACTATATGGTCCAGCAAAGCAGTAGACTTAGTATAAATCATAAATTTAACACTGTGGCGGGTTTGACCCTGGCTGGCTGCCAGGTGCCCACCAAAGCCTCTCTATCACTCCCCTCCTCAGCTGGACGGGGGAGAGAAAATATGACAGAAGGCTTGTGGGTTGAGGTAAGGACAGGGAGATCACGCAGCAATTACCATCATGGGCAAAACAGACTCAACTTGGGGAAATTAGTTTAATTTATTGCCAACTAAATCAGAGTACGATGATGAGAAATAAAACCTAATTTTAAAACACCTTCGCCCCACCCCTCCCTTCATCTCAGGGTTAACTTTACTCCGATTTTCTCTGCCTCCTCCCCCTGAGTGGCGCAGGGGGACGGGGAATGGGGGTTGTGGTCAGTTCATCACACATTGTCTCTGCTGCTCCTTCTTCCTCAGAGGGAGGACTCCTCACCCTCTGCCCCTGCTTCAGCATGGGGGGAGAGAAAATATGACAGAAGGCTTGTGGGTTGAGGTAAGGACAGGGAGATCACGCAGCAATTACCATCATGGGCAAAACAGACTCAACTTGGGGAAATTAGTTTAATTTATTGCCAACTAAATCAGAGTACGATGATGAGAAATAAAACCTAATTTTAAAACACCTTCGCCCCACCCCTCCCTTCATCTCAGGGTTAACTTTACTCCGATTTTCTCTGCCTCCTCCCCCTGAGTGGCGCAGGGGGACGGGGAATGGGGGTTGTGGTCAGTTCATCACACATTGTCTCTGCTGCTCCTTCTTCCTCAGAGGGAGGACTCCTCACACTCTGCCCCTGCTTCAGCATGGGGTCCCTCCCGCAGGAGACAGTTCTCCAGGAACTTCTCCAACATGAGTCCTTCCCACGGGCTGCAGTGCTTCATGAACTGCTGCAGCGTGGATCCCTTCCACGGGGTCACAGGTCCTGCCAGCAGAAGTCGCAGCCTCCTTCAGGCATTCACCTGCTCCGGCGTGGGGTCCTCCATGGGCTGCAGGTGAAGATCTGCTCCACCGTGGACCTCCATGGGCTGCAGGGGACAGCCTGCCTCACCATGGTCTGCTCCACGGGCTGCAGGTGAATCTCTGCTCCTGTGCCTGCAGCACCTCCTCGCCCTCCTTCGCTGTCTGCAGAGTTGTTTCTCTCGCATATGCTCCCTCTTCTCCTCTGGCTGCTGTTGCACAGCAGTTCTTTTCCCTTCTTTAATATGTTATCCCACTACCACTGTTGCTGATGGGCTTAGCTGTGGCCAGCTGCGGGTCCATCTTGGAGCTGGCTGTCGCTGGCTCTGTCAGACATACAGGAAGCTTCTGGCAGCTTCTCACAGAAGCCACCCCTGTAGCTCCCCCGGTACCAAAATTTTGCTATGCAAACCCAACACAAATACAAGAAAGAATTATTGTCAGCCAAAATGGACAGTCATTCCTTTGTATAACTGATTGTTCCTTTAATTAGATTTTTAAGCCAGAGGTGTCTTTTCTTGCTAATCTTGAGGACAGCTGTGGTGTTACTTACAGCTTACTGACCTACAGAATGAGTTACTGTCCCTGCAGAAACTAGAAACTTTGAGTTTAGGTCAGTAAACCATCTATGTTTGATTTAAGAAAACGTACTGCTTCTTTTTGGTGTGATCATTGTGGCTCATCAGTTTCTGCTTTATCTGCTGATAAATCTGTAATGTGAAAACAGCTCTTACAGTGCTAATAGCCTCTGAAAGAGAAGTTTGTTCTTTTAATGATTCTGATTCCTTCCAGAGACTGAGGACTTCTTTCAAGCATGTCTAACTGAAAGACAGCTCTGTGATTACGATTGTGTGTGGGGTTTTTTTCTTAACAACTTAAGATTTTGTAAAATACATTCTTAGCAATAGGTGCTGTTTCTGTATATGTAGTACAAGCCAATGAATTCTTAGGTCCAAACTCATTCAAATTCCTATTGCTAATAATATCCTGTTTCTTAAAAGTAATTTGTTCAGTCTCAAATAGAAAGTAAAACCTTAGGTTAAGTTAAGACATTATACACCTCAATAATTTGGAACAAGTTCAGGAGGTAAAAAAAAGAGCTGTGACCTTTGTTACAGATTTTCATTTCTTGTTTTCTTCTCTGATGTGTTGCATTTCAAAATAGTGCCCCAGGGTATGTCTGCAGTGTGGTTGATAGTGCCCCGTGGAGTAGCATGTGTGCTCTTTCTGCAGTTGCATCTTTTAGTGCAATGTCCTGATCTTGGAGGATGCAATAATCTTCAGATAATCTTTCTAGAAAAGTCTCATGTTTCACTCCTGATTTGCTGATAGATTGTAGTGAAATGCAGCATTACGAAATAATGAGATCTGGGTTGCATCACAAAAAAACATATGGGTTTTGGCTAATCCAAAGCATCGGGGGCAGGAGCACATTTCCCTCCCTTCTAGGAGCTGAGCTGGTTGTTCCAGGCCAGCGTGCTGCTAAGAAATGTTACGGAGGAAGAGCTGCTAAGGAGCCTTAGTGGGGCTTCCACCCTGTTTCACTTGGGAGCTGCTTTTAGGCCGAGATTCTCCTGGCTGGCCCCTGCCTTTGCTACGTTGCAGCTCTCTCTGCACCTGGTCTCATACCTCCCCGATTCCAACTCTAACTTGCGGACTTGACTTTCTGGCTTGACCTCGGACCTGTCTTGTAGCTGTGGATGTCCTGGGTTATCACCAGGCTGTCGTTGACCCTGGTCACTCCCTCTTGACTGACCCTTACTTGCATACTCACCTTGCCTCCTTGTTGTTTCATGACAGAAAGCAGAAAAGGAATAGATAAGTTCACAAAAGAAATTCCCATTTACAGCACAGCAGCAGCTTGTCAAAAGAGATGCGTTAGGAGGTTACAAGGGTCCACTCCAGCAACACTGAGTCAAAAAGAGTGCTCCTGGTCCTCTGTGCCGTGTGCCAGTAGTTTTAACAGTTGTTCCAGGAAATGGATAATCACTACTTAGACTTGATTAGATCTTGAACTTTTGAAAGTCTAAGCTGTAATTCCAATAAAGAATTCCCTGTTGAAGGAGAAGTGGGGAGGAGGAGTGTTGAGTGACTTCTGTGACTCTCTAGACTCCTCTAGTCAAATGACAAGTATTTACTTTTCTAACGGTTAGTGACAGAATACTGTGCGTGTTATTTTGTTTTTTAAAATGCCATGTACTGTTTTCATGTTTTATCTGGGAAAATGCTGGTTAGGTCATGTACTTTTTAGACTGGTTTTTCTAATCTGTGTGTAACTGATTACTCATATTTAATAATTTTTGGGTTTTTTAATAGCTTTCCATTGAAATTGGAACAGAAGTTAAAAACCAAAATAAAATGTTATCAGAAATGGTAAGTGTTTATTCACCAGCTTTCTTTAAATATGGGGCAGGATTAAGAAGTTAGTAATGTAAAGCATTCCTTCTGTTAGTACGAACATTTGTATTAAAATGTTGACAGCTTATCGTAGACTGTAAGATGTGACTAACTCAGCAGCAGTATTTCTGTTCAGAAAGGTAGATGTGCAAAAGCATTACTTCCAAGGCACAACCAAGGTCTTTATACTTCAGATAGGACTATCAGCAAATATATAGTATTACTAAAAAGGCAGTTCTGTATTTAATTGTGTTTAAGAATAGAAGAGGGAAGCAAAAAATAAGGAAGTAAAAAATGTCTTTTTTGCTTGCATCTATCTGGATAAATGGGCGAAAGTTTTTCCTGATTAATTCTCAGAAACTGCCTCTGAAATAGTTTTGGAAAATTTGAAAAAAAAACCCAGGAAAAACTACACTTAGCAAGCTTTAAGGGCAATCTTTTTTTTCTCTGAATAACGTGCTTTTGGTTGTTTTATTTGTTTTTAAATGTAGGATAATGATTTTGACTCTACGGGTGGACTTCTAGGTGCTACCATGGGCAGACTGCGAACACTCTCCAGAGGAAGCCAGACAAAGCTATTATGCTACATGATGCTCTTTGCGTTGTTTGTTTTTTTTGTAATATACTGGATTATTAAACTGAGGTGATGCATGTTACCTTCGGTTTAAATTGTGTAATTTCAACTCTAAAGCAGTCTTAATTAATGAAGACATTGATTTAGGTGGCCTATGCTGTTGATAAAACACAGTGAAATTGTTGTAAATTGCATTAACTATTAATGCAGTGTTATGTATAGTTTTCCTAATGTATCAGAATCTTTCCCATCATCCCCTGTTTTGGGGGGGATTATTTGTAAATATGCAGAAACTGCCAGCATATTAGGTTGCTTTTTTAGGGGAAACCAGTTTTTAGAATTGATTTGAAAAATACAGAAAACAACGGTTGTTCGGATATGAAGTAACTGCAGAATTACAAGGCTTTCTGTTTCATTCTGCTTTTCGTTCTGGGCCATACTCTAAATTAGAGCTCCAGTTTCAGGCATATAGTAACTTCTAGGTTGCAAAAGCACGAAGAGTACTTCGATCTCTTGTATTGGTTGTATCTGTGAGTTTTTAAAAGGCTGGCCTGAAGCTAACAAATGTAATAATGATACCCCGAAAAATTATTTTTGTGGATAGGTCTGATAGCATACATGTTTAGGTAGCTTAAACTGTGTGTTTTGGGGAGAAGTTACTTAGAACTGGATTTTTTTTTTTAATTTAAATGTGACAAATTATGCTTATGCATCTGCTCTTTTAAGCAAATGCCTTTGGTCACTGGGATCAACCAATATGGACACAGTACAAATGCTTCCTTTATATTTAAAGTATCTAAAACTTAATGATTCCATTGAATCACTAGAACTTCTACCGTAAGTATGTTTACTTATCAGTCTGTGATGATCTCTAAGTCTACACTGCATGATATCTGAAATATGAGGTCAGATATTTTGAATTTTTATTAAAGTGTAATATCATGCACCTGTTGGAGGTGCTGTCATATTAAGATTTTTTATTTTGAAGACAGCTTTGGCTCACCAGATAGTTTCTAATAGTTGAAGCTATTACATTGCTGAGTTTAACATTCAAAAAATTAAGTTTCCTAGATATTGAAATTGTATCTACAATTTTTGAAAAACTTTTTTAGAAATACTGTATAATGTTGCACTTAGTAACTAATTACAAACTGACAAATAAAGTGTCCTGTAGTGTCCTAGCTAGTGTTGTTTATATACATTATTTTCTGCTGTAGAATACCAATGTATTTTTTGGAAGTGGTGCTGCACTTAAGTGTCTATATTTGTGTGGGGAGCACTATTAAAATAAGAAATGGAGGTGTATGCTACATTTCTTCATATTAGATTTCATGTATAATGGAAATATGACATGTAAATCACCTAATACAAAACACACAGAATGTGTAAAAGTAATTAAACCTTAAATATTTCTAGCCCATTTAATCTCTGACTGTAAAAAGGTCTACAATACTTCTACAAATAACAGAACATCTAAGTACTAACACCAGGATAATGCATTGTCTTTTTATGAGAAGTGCTAGGCGTGTTAAGCAAGTATAGCATTCCCAAAGCTAGTCCACAGGATATAGTTTGCCATCCAAAATTGATGCAGTTGTGTAATTTTAATGAGACTGGAGTGCAAGGTACTTCACAAGTGCGATGATAATTACTGAAATACCTGTTTGACAATCATACTCCTCTGAGAGTTGATCATTTTCTAGAAGTATATTTCTAGCCCTTAAACATGGCGTCTGAACAATTTCTAGGCTTTTTTTTTTTAGCAGTCAATCTGCTATACCAGTAAATGGTAAAAGTTTTTAAGTACCTGATATAAGGTAGAAAAGTGGGAGAACGCAGCTAGTTATTTGGATGATACAGTTCCTGTCTTTGTTCTGAAGAACATGCTAGGGTGTCCCTTCAGTCCTGACAGAGCACATAGTGGTAAAAATCTTTCACATTTCCTTCAGATCATGCATAAAAACCAACAGGTTTTTCATTTGAAATGTCAAACCAGATTAAAAGGCAATTCATGCAGAATAGGAACTAGGTGTTCTTCCTTCCCCCCCCGCCCTGATTCTTCAGTGGTGCAGAGGAACGAGCAGAAATGAATTACAGGAAGAAAAAATCTTAAGCCTATGTCTTCCCTGCTGTGTTTCTTCATTTAAGGAGGGTTGTCATTTTTTTGTTGTTGTCTAGATAGGGTGGGAAATGGGGAGAAAGATTAATCGCAAGGAACATATGAAGCCTCCAACTTTCTACAGCTACACGTTTTAACAGAAAACACAGAAGGGCTTTTCTAATTAAGTGCTAAAAACATGCGCTATGAGAGTCTTTCAACATCAACGTTCTGAACTGAAAGGTAACTACAAGTTACATTGTCAAATCTGTGACGTTTCTGTACGTTTTTATGTAATTTTACAGGATGTAGCACATTTCCCTTTTTTCAGTTCCAGTAAAAGGTCGATTTTCAGTTTAAAATCTGAATCAGAATCCTGCAGGTTTGCTTAGAATGATTAAGGTGACTTTGTGTAAAGGTGAAACTGCTTTGAGACTATTTCGCTCGGGGAAGGGGAATGGCAATTGGTGGACACCATGCGTTGCAGCCTTCACATTTTCCTCAGCATCTACACTTGCTTTTACTGGTGATTTTCTGGTAGAACATTCCTCTAACAGCACTGAAAATTCACAGATACTTAGCAAAATTTCAGGATGTTATAGTATGACCTTGTAGAATAAAATCCACTGTACAGTGGATACAACAGAAGAATACTAGTAGCATTTATTGTACTTCTACAAAGTTGCAGTTAATAGCAGCTATGTAAGAATACTGCAGTTATGATTAGTCTTATTTTTGAAATATTTATAAATTTTTTTCACAATATTTATATGTTGTGTTTCTCAGTTTAATGTAATTTAGACTCTTATCTAGCAGCCATACAGATTATTTCCAAGGGGAAGGAAATATCATCTTTTAACTATTAAATGGTTAACCTTACAGTATCATGGAGATTCCCTAAAATATGCTTAATCAACACATCCATTTGATCACAAAGACAATTCCCCTGAAGCTTTTTTTTGCACTAATACAGGCTGTCTTTTCTGGCTTAAATGGCTGGTTTAGGAAGAGTTTAAGTAATTACACACAATTTTCATATTAACATGTTTGTTTTTAATATTTTTTCTTTAGTAATTACACACAAAGCATGATACCTTTCTGCTGAAGTTCAGGCCTCCAAAAGCTTCAGATGCAATTAAACAGTTGTTTGTAGAATTCTACAAATAAAAATCGAGCCCCACTCCCATCACTGAACACCCATGACAGTGCAGTACAAATTGATGTGAACTTGGCAAAGACGACCGAGCTCATTTTGATGATTACTTGCTAAAAAATACAGGGAGGGTACTTGTAATCGAGAGCAAAATCACTATTCCAGTATTTGAATACGACATGGACTAATTTGTGCCTTAATTATTGATCTTGAAAGCAAAGCTACACTGAAATGAGATAAAGCTACTAGTGAAATCGTAGCTGTATCCGTATGGAAGTTATGTTTCTTAAGTGGTGGCTTAGATGCTCTGAAATGTAGCTATGCCTTGATTGCAGAAGACCTTTTTTTCCTGCGTGCTTAGTGTGGATGACTAGGCTCCTCAAAGCAGTAACCCTCTGAAAAAATGGGGAAAAAATCTTGCAGGAGGCCACATGCTTTCAGACTGCTTAGTATGAACAGGAATTTGACACTGGAGAACGCACAGAATGACAATGGTTAAAGACCTTGATGAGCACATTTTCTACTTATTTTACCCTTGAAACGTGTCCTGGCTGTTACCTGCAGTGTGCAGTACAAGCCATGCTCTTGCTTTCTTACTTTCCAAGGAAAAGTGGAGATGCATCACTTGCTTGGAAGTGTTTCCATGTATTTGCATATGATGGAAAGCATGGTTTCATCTGTACCACCTCCTATGGACATTAATCTCAAGTCTCTGTAGAAATATAAAGAGCAGATTTAAACATTTGCATGCTATACTGATGGAACAAGCACAGAACTGTACATACCCATTTATTATTCCATGCATTTATTATGGAGCTGCTTTTATTACATTGAAACCCCTTGTTTACAGAAGTACATATGTGGTGTGGACAAATGTGTTGTCAGCACTGTAAATACCCTTTTGTGTACAGGGGTGTTGCTAATTCAAAATCAAAAGGCTTAAGATACAATTTGGCACATCCAACTTTCAGATTCTTTCAAAAATAACCTTAACTTGGTGTAGCACTGTATTTTCATCTTGAATTAATTTAAAAACCTCTCCTAGCATACAACTGCACCTTCTTAAGCCTAGCCAGATGTCCTGCAGCTGAACTCCATACAGACTGCTGTGTAGGTCTTACCGTTTTGACCGGCATATAAAGCATTACAGGCTCTTCCCAAGGTTTTCTGCTGGGCTGCCTGCTCAGATGACCCACACATTACAGACTAAGGCCAGTTGTCCGCAGAACACCTCATCCACCGCCTCCTCCTGGGGAGGTGGTCGGCAATACCTCCTGCAACATCCCCACTGGTCCTTGGCCAAAGCGGTAGGTGCCGAAGCCCGCAGCTGCATTTTAGGAGGGGAGGGAGCTTTTGGAGGGCCAGCAGCAAGAAGTGTTGCAGCACTTTTTTAACTTTGCTCAACTGTGTGGTAAAAAGGGTATTAGTCAATCAGTACATGAGGTATTGGAGAATTGTGCGGAGAAGGTACAATTTTCATTTAAGTTTTTTAATCAGCAAGCATCCTGGTCTCCCTAACGGCTATGTGAGATCTGGCATAATCCATATTAGTATTATACAGTATTATATTATAGTATTAGTATTATATAATGTTATAGTATAGCAATATATAGTGTATAAAGCTTCTGTGCTTTAAAAATGAATGGCTGCTCCAAGCTTATTTACTTTTAATATTTCTAATTGTAGTCATTTAAAAACTGACATTAATATCACTAAGTCATCCCTAGTAGTATTGCCGAAGTTCCCTGTGCTAGCCAGATTGCAAACTACTGCAGCCTTCAGCAATTTTCGTCACAAATTTCTCTTCTCCTTTGGGGTGAAGGAAAAAAAAAAACAAACCACTGAAACAGTTCTGCTAAACTACCCCTGCTTAATTCCACAACCTGAAGATTCCCCACCTTCCTGGGGGCTTTGCTGAAGGCAGCAGAGCTGGAACAACGGTAGGTTACTTGTTCTTCGTGCTGTGATGCTGTCTGCTTGTTCAAGCTGCAGAAAGCCCCTGTCTACACTTAGCATCTTGCATCTTCACAGCACTGAAGCAACAGTAAGTAATTAATTCTCAGAACTCCTCTGCGATGCCGAT